CACCCATAGTTTTTAAGGATATTCGCCCCCTTCTCATTTGAGCAATCGACACGCACATTAAATTGGCTTTATTTAGAACGTTGTCAAACTGTTGTTTATTCCTTATCTGAGTTTTCAATTGATACTACAGAATCATTTGTGTTGTTTTTTAGCCAAGCGTAAAGCAAGAAACAACTTGAAATTCTTAAACGTATTGACACGGTTTTCCTTTCATAATCAGGCAAACATTCGAGTCGTCTTTCTCGATTTGTTTATGGTATACGATGACAAACCAGGCCACGCAAAAAATGAAAAATATCATTACAAAGAATTTTCATAACTAACAAAATAGAACAAATGTACACAAATATTCACAAAAACCTGCACTTTTTAATAACTAATACTGTTTAATAGCTAAACCAAATCAGCGTGTAAACATGTATTTTACTCCGAAGAAACCCCTTCGAATTCAGGGGAATACCCAAGCAAGTAAACTTTACCCGGAAATATCTGAAAGCTGATAAAGAACTGAGAATCCACATTGAAAAGGTTCACTTTGAAAGTTTTGTCCAAATAAAAATTTCACTCTGCCAACGTCCTGAATATTATTTATTCGCCAGAGCCAAATCGCAGGTATCACCCCAGTCCAGGGCATTTATTGAAATTTGTAGGCCCTTGATCCATGGAGGAGGTAATGAATGTGGAAACTTGAAAACATCCCGTGTCGAATGTTACTCTGAAAATCTAGCGACCTTTGTCTTCCAAATTACCAGGTTTAACGTACTCGTTATACATGTAGCCAGTCGACTCCATAACACAAAATTCCTATTCCCCAGTGAAGAAATTCCCATGCCAGGCATAAATAAGCTCAAAACTGTACAAACACGCAATGAGGACAGATTAATCTTTGCCCAGTGGTGCGACCTTACTAAAAAAACATACTGTGCACCGAAGTTCGCACTATCTAGCAATTTGATTGGTTAAATATTTTAAAACAAAAGCTGTGCGAATCGGTGCGAACGTGCTACTAATCATACTGTGCACCGAAATACCCTAATCTAACTACATTGGTACCTTGTTGTTTTTTAGTCAGGATGCTTTGAGATTTGAATCAGATTGAATCAAGATCGAGATTGAATTAGAGATGGTGTTTAAGATTTTGCTTGTGTTTATGGCCAGGTTTGAATCATGCATGATTCAGACCTTGGATCTTCCTGCTCCTGCACGGTGTTCAGTTGTCAAATATAACTGAAGCATAATTCCCAAGCAAATACACTTAAAACACAAATGGGAAATTTGCCAATAAGCAAGAATGTTGTTGTTAAGGCCGAGACGGATTCTTAGCATAATTTTAAAAGTTTGACTGTCGCATGTGCGAACGGTGCGAACGTCTAGATCCGCCCCTGGTATGAGTGACATAACGAAGCAACCTCTCGCGTGTTACGGAATTTAGATAAAAACTCTAAAATTTTGTTTAAATACAAGGAGGACAAAAGCAGATGATGTTTACTGAATAATAATTTGTTTACATATACTTACAATTCAAATGATCTTACAATTTCAACTCATGGTTTAATTCTACCTTGTTTGTTTGCAAAGACTGGAACTGCAAATTGTAAAACTGTCTGATGCAAGCCGCCAATCAAACTGCACGATATGCAAAAACAATTGCACTCATTTTTATAAGAACCAGTAAATTTCAAGATCAGGCCTCATTTGCCAACAGAGTGAGTGAGGCAGCCTTCATTTGCCGACAAGTTAGAATATTCATCGAAAAAGCACCCACACATGGCTAAAAATCATCGTTTTTGAGATGAAACATTTTTAAAAAATGCATTTAACTGTAGCTCAGCATCAGCTTGTTTTTTATTTGTTCTTATAAAATTTTTCTTATAAAAAAGAAGAGTGTCCGCGATACTGCTACCGTTATGTGCATGCCCAGTTACTGATGCATGCCCGGTCAGAATGCAGTTGGCAATTAGCGATGAAATTTTGCTTCAATTGGATCTATTGTTTCCTATCAAGGAAGCTTTATCCTCTAGATTTTGCATGAAAAACTAATCTTTTGTCAGTGGTAAATCTTGCCAAATGTCTATTTCCTGCTAAGAAAATTACAAGCTAAAAAAAAGTACTTGGCAGACCTTCTTCACACTAGAAGCGGCGCGTCGCGGCGCGTCACACAGCGTTTTTCAAGAATGGAATTCAAGCGTTCATATCTAGTGCGTTTCTTTGCGTTTCATTTTAAAAAATACAATAGCAGTGATATTGGACTTGATTTCAGTTTAGGTCTCTTGAGATGAAACTCGGATTTGCTCTCTGTACATTTATTTCATTTAACATTGCCCTGGCTCATTCTACGTTCTATCTTTATCGGGTCAGCGAAAATCTGTTTCAAATAGTCATTGCAAAAAGCTTCGAGGGAAGCATTCTGTGTGACCGTACTCTGCAGTTCAAGAATATTTGTACGAAATAGTGTTTCTTTAGCGATATTGGCTCAGGCACCAATTTAATAGAACGCCATTTGAGTGTTTTCAAAAGCCCGGTCATGCCTCTTGTCCCACTATTGTTTACAAAGAAAGAAGAACAGCTTGCTTACAAAACTTTTCTATTGTTCTGATGCGGCACATAGCGGAAAAGTTGGATAAATCCAACTTTGCCGCATCGTGACGCATTGCCCAAAAAACGCGATGCGCGCGCAGTTCGTCAAAAAACGCGAACCTTATTTGGGCAGCGGCAAAAAAAACGCGTCTAGTGTGAATTGAGCTTAAAGTGCATATGACACGAAAATTTTTATTCGCTTAAATCATTAAAGAAACATCGCTGGTAACGATGGTGAACTTAGTTTTTTCATTTGCGACTCACTTTCCCCAAAAAACGGGGTTTTCCGACACCCACTCGAGCTAAAATGTGTCACAAGAAAAACGCGGTCGAACCTGTGGTCACGTGACCCCTGTGACGTAAAGTGGTTGTGTATCCGTTGAATAGAACAAGGCTTCTGTATGGTTTCACTATGTGCGGGCACTACTGTTGTCCCCCTAAAGATTTTTTTCCTCCATAATTGTAATAATATTTATTTAGATAACTCAAGCAATGTCCTTAAAGGTCGGAAAGTAATTTAGAAAAATTTTTTGGTTCATTATAAAATTGATAAAAATTGAAATAAAGTGTTGTGCATGACTTTATGGAACGAATACCCCCTTGAGGAAGATACCGTTGTACTTGACTACCATCCTGGAAAACCTGCCCCAACAGAAGTTCGCCGCTTGGCATTACTTATTAAAAAAGCAGCGTGACACCGAAAATACCAAAACATTTTTTCGACGTGATGCTCTACCCTCAGTCCGCAAACCAAAACAAGACAAAGAACGAAGCAAGAATGAAAAAAGCATGGTGAGTAATAAGTTTCCTATTGTTTTTTTATAACTGCCTAACAACGTTCTATTGTGTAACAGCTGAGATTGGTAATGATTTGACGTTATTGGTAATGACTCGACAACACCGGGGGCACTCGCTTTATGGAAAAAAGGGACTCCTTGTCCCTCTGTATGGGGTCCATATCACCGTTTTTAATACTTAAAAATAACCCAAATATTCAATTTTGCAGTTATTTTTTTAAGACATTTAAACAAATGTAAACTACTTCAATATTTTATACAAAAGCGAAAAAGGTTTTGGAAACTAAAAAATCAGGGGGTTACTCAAGAAATATTTAAGAAGCAGGGAAATGATAATCTATGGGATAAAGATTCAAAATGCAAGTGAGAATCGATTAACAATAAACAGAAGTCACCAAGTAACAAAACATGATATAAAAACTTTCAATTAAATCACGGACTCAGTCGTTTCTGTATAACAGAAATAGTGGTCTTTGACCTTGTCAGCCTTGGTCAAAGACCAAAAAATTAATCTTGGATCATGTTTGTTGTTAAATGTAAACGTTGAAATTTGTGTTCCTCGTTCTTCACAGGCAAGCAGCGTTAACGGAAGCTCTGCACAGATGGAGTTGCTTTGGCATCAACAAGGTTTTGAATCTCTCAGAAGTTCTGGAATTGAAGTATCTACGTTTGTCTCTGACAGACACCAAGACTGTATGCCATTGCACAGAGATACCTATTGAACAAAAACATTGTATGACTTAATATAATGGTTGATTTGAGTTTCTCTTACATTCTTTAGAATCGGCAGGATCATAACATCACATATATATATTATATGTATATGGTATACTCTTTTCTGCCAGATTTAATGAAAATGAAATATTAAATTTACTAATTCTAAGAATTGAAGGTGCCAAACAGAATTTGTATTTCTCTTATACAATATAACAACTAGACAGTATTTGTATAACTTATTCTTCATTCGCCCATACAACGCAATAGGCCAGGCCGTTATGATCAGGGAATGGTGGCCTAAAAACAGCAGAGATGTAAAGGGAATACTGAATTTATAACACTAAAAAACACAATTACAACTTATTTCACTCACCATTGACTCAAAGTAATAATTCCGCGCCATCGATCACGCTGTTGGGATTTTTGTATTCCATCTTCGTCCTCTGCCCGGTCATGAAAGCTTCGAGCCATGCCAGCTTCGCCTGGTTCCGCGTCTGAATTATCCGCAGAAAAAAGACTGGTTCGTTCTTGCAAGGCAAAAATAGCCCATCAGCAGCACCTAAAAGCTCTTCCCCTTCACTTTCGTCAAAAGCTGACGCCCTCGAGCTTGAATATTTGCCGTGAGACATGTTCATAAACTCGCAAGTAAAACTCCGCCGTATAATTTCTTGTTAGTTAGCAATCTAAATTTTCGCTAACACAACCACTTTACGTCACTTCCTGTCAAACTCGACCCAATCCCTTGTGACAGAATTTGAAGCAAAAATCGATCTTGAAACAGCTGTAATTACGAAAGTGTTTGTTTTTCGAAAATTTTATAGTGATTTTCGTGATCAGCATACTCGATTACGTGATGGGGGCGAATAAAAATTTTCGTGTCATATGCACTTTAAGAGGTATTTTGGCTGCGTTTATCGGATTCATTTCATATCGGACTTGCTGCACCGTATCGGATGGGTTTCATACCAGATAGGGCTCCTGTTTCCCCTTTACCTGCCACGTGAGCACTGATGTGAGTCACTAAAACAGAAAACTGGCGGGAGCAGGGACGAAAGTTAAGGATAAAATTTTTCCTTAAACTAAGACTTGACTTTACACGATACCGGATTCATTTCATATCGGATTCCTTTCATGCAAGATAGGCCTTCTGTTCACACAATGAGGACCCAATCCGGTATGTATCCGCTTTTGCGGAGTGAAATCACTTCGCTACGAAAGTGGTATGAAACCAATCCGATATGTATCGGATTGGGTAAAGTGCTCGTGTAACGCTAGAATCCGGTATCAACTTGCTCCTCAACCTCAGTCACAATCCCTGTGGCCTCAACCCCACGTTTGGCGCGTTTTTCAACAAATTGTGGTTTCATTATCAAGAAAACGAGATGGATGCTGATAAAGAGAAATTTTTCTTTACCACAGTGATTGGTCTTGCGCAAATTTTTCAGGTAAGTAGCCGCCTAATGGATCTTTTTGCGAAATGTTCCTTATATTTAAGAAGACTTCAAACTCTTCCTTTTTTTCCCCTCGAATTGAGAACTCGCTGCATGCGGTCTCACGGTCTCTAGCAACAGCTCAATTACTTGCTCAGTCCAGAAAAAATTTCTTCCTTAATTTTTTTTCCCTACTCCCGCCATTTTACTGCTTCAAGTGACTCACATCAGTGCTCACGTGGTAGGTAATTTTTTGGCGCGACTCAAATACCAACGCAGAGGCTCCGAAACAAAAAGCTGCACCTCGCAGTGCGGAATGACTACTGTCGTGTAAACAGGAGCCCTATCTGGTATGAAACCAACCTAATACGGTGCTGCAAATCCGATATAAAATGAATCCGGCATCCTGTATACGCGGCCTTACTTGGAAATCAGTCCCCACCCTCTGCGTGGATGCTTCTTGCTTAAAAAGTCATATGGCTGATATTTATCTTAAGGAACAGTACGAGATGTGCAAATGATTGCACCACATTGCTTGTGAGATACCAACCATAGTTTAAATAATGTTCATAAATGGCAAGAACAATTGCAGAGGCCCTGATTTTTTTTTCGTGATTCTTTTTTAAGCTTATAGTTTATTGTGACACAGAAAGTCAAATGTAGCATAGCGGTCAAATCTTGATTGGCTGAGAGCTCTGTTCGCTACCATGTTCTAAGCCAATCAGCACACAGGATTCTCACAACAAAATCGCTTCGCAGCTAGAATTAGGCCCATATTCGCGATTTCAGCGTGTTTTTACCACATTGTCTACAAAAACATTGCACGCCTCTACAAAGCCAATTTTCACTTAATTTTTTGTCCAGTTCATCATCATGCGTTGCTATTTAACCTATATTGGCGCCACTGCTCGATCGCAAAGAATAATATAAAAAAACACCTCACAAATGATCGCTAAATTTCGTGTCAAATTCAGGTAAATTACGTTTTTACCTCTCCCCACCCAAAGCGCTTTAGAAATTTTACATTTAGACAAAATCAATCATATATACTTGCCTTAAATCTAGGAATGGTTCATAATCCCGTCAAAGATGCACTCACTGTTCAGCCTTAGATGTAATTATTACAACGGCACGAAGGCTTTCATATTCACCCTCGAACTCAATAAATGTATCTTTGTCCTCTGGAATCAAAATTGATTTCATAAAAGTGAAAAATTTTCAGCAATAGCCCAAAGTAATTTCAATCATGATTGTCCAAAGACAATTGTCCATTATTACTAATTTTATGTGATAAAAATGGCGAATACACTCACGCGGTAAGACTGGGATCTAATAAAATTTGAAAACGGCGGGAAAAATTGACGAAAACGCACCCTCGAAATTTTCCCGCGATCAAACAGTGACGCCAATATAGGTTAAATAGCAACGCATGATGATGAACTGGACAAAAAATAAAGTGAAAATTCGCTTTGTAGAGGCGTGCAATGTTTTCTGTAGACAATGTGGTAAAAACACGCATAAATGTCGAAAATGAGCCTAATTCTAGCTGCAAAGCGATTTTGTTGTGAGAATCCTGTTTTCTGATTGGCTTAGAACATGGTAGCGAACAGAGCTCTCAGCCAATCAAAGGTTTGACCGCTATGCTGTCAAATGTATAATGTAGAGAGATTGTAAGATATGACTGTGGCTAGTTCTGGACAAATATTCAGATTTTGTCCCTTAAAAAGCACACGCTGAACACAACTCAATTAAGAATTGCTAGCCTTCAACCGAGATGACATCTGTTGATTTTTGAAGTAAAAAAAAAGAAATATTTATTATGGATTTTACTCTTGAAAACTTCATTAACTGGTTAGCATATACGAATCATTGCAACTCTTCAACATTTGGTATCAGTTTAAAAATATGTTTAGTTTAGTCAAAATCCAGGGCAACTTGGGTATTTTTCTCGCCAGTGCTTTAGCAAAAAATGTTAACATGAACTCCTGCATCATGTTCCATGCAAGCAAAAATGTTGCAACGTGCAATATAAGTCTGGAATGTTTAGCTGGGTCGTGCATAGAAAATTTTAATGTCAAATATTCGGGACCTTTAGGTCAGTAGTCACGTTTAGACCAATCTTTTGAGCAACACAATTCGATGGTAAATCTCAACAAAAACAAAGGAAACAGTGAAATAAAATGATTGTCGAGAATTCTCGATTTGTTCTTTATTAACTTTGTGATTTTTACATCAATATATTTTATGGATCTGTCATTAGCCCAATCTCAGGGTAAAATCCCATTCAAAAAATGTTGCACAATTTTAGCTTTCAAATGTTGTTTTAAGTAAAAAAGCGTTGTCTTACTGCCATAACTAAATCGATTGCATAGCTCAAATCTGCCAATTCTAAAAAACTTCTTTCTTTGATCATAGTCAAACACAAAAACTAATAAGACAACTTTCCCGTTGCTAATTTAAATGTTCTTTTCTAATCAATCATTTACACATCGGTAGTTAGATTTTGAAAACACTGTTGTGAAAATACGTTTGAAATTATGATAATCAACAATCAACATGAGTAATTAGCTTATTATGAAATAAGGACTTTAATCATCTAAAACTAGATTGCAGAGTTTAAACATAAGATAAGTGTTTAAATGCGATAAAATTTTCTTTAACTTTAAGAAATTGTTAATCTCAATCAATCACATAAAACTTCTTATTTAAATATTGTGGTACATATTCACAAAATAATAATTTTATGAACGAAACTATTAAAGATATCATAGGCACAGACTTATATTTTTTCCGGGGGAGCTCAAAAGTTAATGGCAATTGCTAATAGAGAATGCCGATGGCGGAGAATAGAAAGCGACCTATCCCAGGTGGAGGGGGGTGGGGGTGGGTACTATTGACTGACCATGTTGGTGTTATTTTCTTTCTGCTAATAACCATACATTCTGTTCTTTTGCAATAAGTTGGTTAAATCTCATTTTCCTTTCTGCTTTCTGCTTTCTGCTGCTTACCAAGTAAGTCTTTCTTCCAATGTAGAAATTAAAGCAGTATCATCAGCAAAGCGCACATTACTGATGTTATTAACTCCAATGATTGATCCTTTGATTTTTCTAAATCTCTGAAAAGTAAACAAGTCAGGACTCAACCTACATCCTTGTCTAACACCCCTTCTTATTTCTGTATACTTACAGTCTTCATTTCCAATTCTTATACATTTTTCCCAATACGTATTTTTGCTGTCAATTCCGGTATTGTTTACAGCACTAGGAGAGCCCTTCGCCTTCCATCCATTCAAAAGGATTGCCATCCTACCAACCAAGAAAGTTCCGTTGTTTATGAGTTTACGTGCCAGTGTGATTCTGGCTACGTAGGACGCACAACCCAAAGATTGGGGGATAGGATTTAACAGCATGTTCCTTCCAACATGAGAAACAAAACTGCTCCTCGATCTTGTAGGTCTAGAAACACTGTTAAAACAAGTGATTCTGTCATCGGTCAACATCTTATAGACAACCCAGATTATGCCAGAGTCTATAATGAAGATATGTTTCGGATAATTGGCAGAGCCCGGTCGTCTCTCCATCTAGTAGTTTTGGGATCGATCTACATACAAACGAAAAGCCGCCATTGTATAGACAAAAGGAGTTCGTTTTCTCTCTTGGACTCCAGTGGTACTTTCTCTTTAGGCACGCGACACTGATTGGACAACTATACCGGTTGCATTTTTCTTGTGCTTGTGATTTTCTGATTGGCCTATTTTGATCCACAACTGGGTATATATTTTTCATCGTGTTCTTTCGGACTCTTATTCTGATGTTTATGCTCTTAGGAGTGTCAGATTCTAATATGTTATGAAATGTTTGCTTTTTTTACAGATTCCTTAGCAACCGAATATCTTTCCCATTTAGGTCCAATTCTTCAAACATATTGAAAAGATATTCATTTCTCACTTGTTCAAAGGTTTGGCATAGACGATAAGGCACATGTTGGCATAGACGATAAGGTACAAACACATGTTGCATTTCTACACCTCTTTCTGCCAATATCAAGGCTTTTTTGACTGTCCCGGACTTCGAGAAAGAAGAGAAAAGAAGGGACAGAAAGAAAAATATCAAGAGAAAACAAGAGATAAGCAGAAAGGAAGTAGTAAATGAAAAAAGTTGCAGAAAATCTTTATTGCGGTATCTCGCGTCACATCTGCAAACCAATGCTAGCACCAGTTACAAGCTATCTGGGAATGTTGCGAAGTCAAAAAATAATTTTTTTATGGTAAAATTTTCAATGGAATTAAAAATGGCCCTAATCTTTTTCATAGCCCAAAAAGATATTTTACAATTGTTCGTGGCCTATCCAAATATTACCCACCCTCATATAGCAGTTACTTTATGGCCAGTCTCTATGTGTGCATCTTTGCAAAAGTTTTAACTGTTTACTTATGACAGAGTCTTTCTTGAAGCATTACACTCTCTGTCTCAAAAACTCCCTTTGAGCTTCTTCCCTTTGTTTCAGTTAAATTTGTCTTGTTTCCAGTTCGACTGCTGTTCCTCCTGCATTCGTACCTCCAGCATTCGTGCCCTGCCAGCACTTGAGCACTTCTACAGAGTGCTTTATTTGTGGATGTATTTTAGCATAAAGAAACGGGTTGATACACCCATTAATGCAAAAGAGAATGATCAAAAAATGGTAGGGATTTTTCGCGCTGGTGATAAAGCTGCAAATCATTTTTGGGTCTTTTGAAACTCGGATGGCTAAGATGGTAGTAAAGATTGTTACTGGTGCAATGCATATGAAATAGAGGCTGATGACAATAAGAAATTGTTTACAGATACGTTTGTGCGAGGCCAGTCTTCTTTCTTGTGCAATGTTGTTCCTGATTTCAACATTGTTTTGTTTCAAATGCTTTACGCAAATTGTATAGAGGCAAATGATGCCAACAAGTGGTAAAACAAATGATAGGAATTGTAGAATGTTTGTCGTGTACAAATACAGCAAAATGTTATCTTTTGTGAAGATTGCTCGCGTTACTGTGAAAGTCATCGTAAACAGGAATGAAGCTAGGACGGCGAAGACCCTTGTTTTGAACGTGATTCGTCTAAACTCCAATGGCTTTTTTATTGCCCTAGACAAAAAAATTAGAAGATAAAAATGAGCTGTTTAATCACGTGACTTAAAAGTGTTTTCCAAACAATTACAGACAATTTTGCTGCTTTTTACGCAGTTCCACATACAAAGATTCTTGAAGTTTCAATCAAAGAAGTCTCTTCAAACTTCATTTGAAGCATATATTAAGGTCACAATCGCATTATAATGTTTTGATGAAGAAGTAAATTAAAAAAAATTTAAAGTTCCACACTACAACGTTTGTGAAACTGCCTTAGAACAAGGTTTATTAAAATTTAAAATCAAATGATCTGTTCAAATGTCACTTGAAACGTTTATTAAAGAAATTTCGTACATAGCACAGTAATGTTTTAGAGGTGCTATTCTCATCTTAACAGAAAAGAGTATCACCATCACAAAATGAAGAAACTGTCTCACCAATATCGCTCGACTGTGATGAAAAGTAATATCCAGCCAGCCTCTTGAGTTGCAGCAACGAAAATTATATTTATAATCTGACTCACGTAGGAAGGCATTGATAACTGGTAAAAATCTTTGAAGTTTTCAATAGGTCCTGTTAGGAATGTCATGACGTCAGATAGTGCAAGAGCAATGATGAAGACATCTGATTTCTTTGCTTTATTTTTGCGTCCTGAAGTAAAATAATTGTTAATCATTACCATGAAATGCTGAAACATAAATTGCTATCTTCCTTGGCAATAGTTTTTATCGTCTCTCGTTGGCTAAATTATTGCCATGTCAGTTTTTACTTAGATTTCTATTGATTTTATCAGATGAACTCAGTGCAAAAGATGAAACTTACCAAGTGCGTAGATAACGAAGCAATTTGTTAACGTTCCAAATACCATCATTGTTGCTAGTAGAACGGTGAAAATAATTGTTTTCAATTCTCCATGTTCATTATCAGCTGAAGATTCGTATGAAAATGCTCCGTATTCAAAAGATCGGTTGTTGGGTCGAAGCAGATCAGCACAGCTCATTTCGAAGACACCTGGTTTTATGACGAAGAATTTTGATCTCAGCTGCTTGTTTGACGATTATGGTTCTGTTGAAGTTTCTAGAATACTTAATTTATTACTTTTCAAACTTTTTTAAAAGCTCTTCAACAAAACATTACAGTGGAATAAAAAACGACGATAACTGTTTACTTGATCATAATTTGTTTACTCTCATTAACAATTCAAATGCTCCATGCAGCGCTTATTCGTCCTCATTTCACTTCAATTCAACTTTATTTGTGTGCAATGTTTTAGCTCCAGATCGAAAATGCCTCAAATTGAGCTTATAAAATGCAAAATTCAATTGCACATATTCTTCTTTATAATTTGATGCTGTGACCTGAATTTCACATGAACAGATGCGCTGGATCGATTAAAAAAAACACACGATCAAAGCTCTTCGCTTCGCTTCTTGCAGAAAATTTGGTCTTAGAGTATCGGTTTTATACCATAGAAACTTTTCATTGCCGTTCTGAATGTCTTATATGCCCAAAAGCCTTTTGCTCATGTTTCAAAAACACAATATATCCAATTGAATTTTATGTCCAAAAGCCTTTTGCTCATTTTTTGTAATTATTGAAAGCGCTGGGCATTAGTTCCAGTCCTCTTTTCGATAGTCCTCAAGTAATAAACCGATTCATTGACTAGAAGTAGAGTGATCATTTGATAAAAAGCGTTCATAAGATTATAATTATTTTGGCACGTTCTGCTACGGTTTATAATCAAGGAGGCATACAAACCAGGGCGGCTTGAATTATTCTATCCAGATCAAGTCAAGCATCCTGCAACCTTGAAGCTGAGAGTGATGATGTAAAAGACGAGGTAGAAATTCTTCTGGAAGATATCAATGATTCCATGCTTGATGATATTGTTAGACCCAGACTGAAGATTACCCTCTACGGCTATCTATTGACTGGGGGACTTTGCCCCAAGCTGCTAACGGCATTATTACGAAATCTCTTCTGTAGCTAAAAAGAATAGCACGAATCTTTGCAACAAGGTACAGTTTGCCACGGTACATTGCCCCAAACTGAAAATTGCCCCAAGATAAGCAAACAGAACATGATTACAGCCAATTAAAAGCTAGAATTGAACTATAGTTGAAATAGCATAAAAGTTTATAAAAACGATGTATTACATTTCGATTTCTTTAAAGTTGTATTATTGTTGTATTAGATTTCTAGAAAGTGTAGCTTTTGAAAGTTTTTACTAGAAGCACTTTATTATAGGCCTTTTTCTGATTTATACATGTAAAATTTCCGATTTCAAGACTCTGAAATTAAGTTTTAGGCAATAGTTTTCATTCCTAGCATTGTATTAAATGACATTCTTTTGGAGACAATGGGTGTTTCCTAAGGGAGAAAATGCGGGGAAAAAGGTGTAGCCAAAAACTGCGTGGTCCTGGTCCCCCTTTTGTCCCCTCCCCTCATATATCCCCGGCTGGGGCCACCACTGCCTCCCCACTTTGAAAAAAATTCATTGTAAAATCAGGGGTATTTTTTCGTTGCTTCCTCGGCGAAATTTTAGATTTGTCAAATAAAGGCAAATAAAAGATAACTCACCCACATTGTAAGTAAATGTGATTAGCCTGGGTGTTGTTCTGTTGCTATTTTTATTTTTAAGTTTCTGCTGTTAATTTGTTACTTGTAATTTGTTAAGCTTGTAAAATCTCAGCCTGTCTTGTTACTTTTATTTTTCGGCAAATCTCAACCTGATATTTCTTCTAAGAGTTGTTCTTATAAAATAGCATGCGTGCCTATTAAATATCCTCTTACCCGGTCCTAGCGCGATAGAAATTCTTCATAGTTGTAGTTTAGTCTTGGAAAAGCTGGTTGGAAGTATAAGGGGTTCGACAGCCCCTAAATTTGCGCTTGCTCGCTTCACGCTCGAATAAGCCCCCCCCCTCGAATAAGCCCCCACCTAAATATCATTTTTGCAAACAAGCCCCCCCCTCTCGAATAAGCCCCCATGGGAAGCATAATTGCAGAGTAATATCTTATTTCCAGAAAGCCCCCACAGGACAATAGCTATACAGTATTACTTCTTTGACTGGAGACCACAAAGCAAAAACGCTGCTTTTCTTATAGTAAAAAATTGTAATATTTGTTAGATCTTTACAGAGCACTTTGTAACTCTTTTAATGATATCAGTTGTTGTAATTAGAAGCTCGAAATGCTCATGTTTAACTTTTTTCCATTCAATTGGTCAACAGGAATTTTGTAGTTTTTATGTTGACTTTGAGGAAAATGCTTAACTTTTAATTAAGCCCCCCCCCCCCATCGAATAAGCCTCTTCTCGAATAAGCCCCCACCAAAAAATTCATTTTTGCAAACATGCCCTCGGGGGCTTATTCGAGGATTTTGCGGTATTTCATAAATTTTATTGCCTGAGTTCCTTTTGACACACAATTTTTTTGTCAGAGTTCCTCATGTTCCCCTGTGGCTGGTAAAATGCCCTACCATTTTTCCTGTTACATCATTGCCAAAGAACTTCGGTCATGTGACATTAATTCTACTTCCTGCTCGTTTCTAATAAATGCAAGACCAGTTATCATAACGAGAAAAACAATCACGGGCAAGGCAGAGACAACAAAGATTTGCGGCAAAGATGAAATGCTGTACGATGTTTGCTTTTTTCTTCTTAATAACGACAAGAAGCTTTACAGCAGGGAAATGTAAGTATCCTTCAATTTTACAAAACAGCTGCATTTTCTGTTTTTCTTGTGTTTTTATAGCAATACCAGACATTGTTTAACGATGTGATATGGTTAAAATTTATGGAGATTTATCGGTAAAGATCGATTGTGAAGTCGGTGCATTTGGAAATCTAAAAGGCAAGAATTGATGTCTTTTCTACTACACGTTTTATTATGTAATTCCACGACTAGATGTAAAGGATTGTTTTTTTGGACTAAAAGATTCCCTTGCACTCAATGATGTGTATCATTGAGGTTGACTTTGGCAGTAAAGCCAATCTCAAGAATGTTTTCAATTTCTATAAAAAGGCAATAAAATTGCGTTTATGGATGAATAAATGAGATGATTAAAGTGACTGTTGATGATTTTCCTTGAAGAGGCAAATACCAATCGAACAACTCGCTTTCGTTAACTGTGCTGTTTATCCTAAACACTCCTTGTTCCTTAAAAATTTTTTGCCTCGCACCATGGGAAATTTTATCAAATCGTAAACACGATTTTTGGGATTTACCAGTATTTACCCCTAACATCTTGACTCGTCCACAGCTACGTCCCTGCTCCGTAGAAGGGGCAGGAAGGGGGCTCAATGCCAGTGCAAATGTCGATTGCTCTTTTTGCTGGCCTTGTGAACGTTATCATACATTTGATTCCCGGGAAACGTTTCTGTTTCTTAAAGATAAATGTCGAAATAGAGTGGTAAAGTGAATACGTCACGTTGCCCCGGTAACCAAATTTCTGTTCTAAACAAACCAACAAATATGGCGTTTTTTATAACCTCTCTGTGTATATTCTTCGAAGGCGAAACAAAATCGATTTCTAGGGGTGAAAATCATTACAAATCTGGACATGTAGAGTCTATTACATACATTCCTGGAGTTCTGAAAGGAAAGGTTCGCGCTAGCATGAAGGACAAGGTCTATAATGTTACGGTAAGTTTTTATTATTTCTTTATGCTTGCGATCTCTAAAGCATTAGCTAGATTTAGGTCTATCAGAATAAGTAATTAGAATCTAGCCTAAAAAGGTTTTAAAAAATGTGTCACTTATTTAAGTCAATGATGGACCAACAAGATAATAAGGCGGTCCGATTTCCTATCGATTTACAATGCCGTTGCTCTGCTAAAAAGTAGGCCTAAATCGGAATCGTGCTTCCAGCGCATCTTCAATAAGCTTTTCTTCCACTAATCTTAGGTCATACAACATAAATCAAAAGCTGTTGGTGGAAAAATATAGATTTTTAGCTTCCTAGCCCGTACCAATGTAACAGGTCAGAATAAGTTGAACCCACACTATGGGTAAATATTTTTTAGGTGTACATTCGTGTAAACGGCACTGCCCATGATGGGTGCTGATTTCCAGAGTTCGACCTTTGTAAAATCATTTGTAAATGCTACCATAAATCCTCAAATTAGACTCTTTTAGGGAGGGGCTTGTCAATTTGCGGCGTTTTTGGATGTGGCTAATTTCGAAGGGGTGCTTATACCGGAGGAGGGGAGGTGGCTTTTAAATATTATCCCGAAGTCGGTTTCAAAGTGTTTTTCACTTGATTTGCCAGCTGATTTTATATCCATGTCTAGATTATTGTTAAAATGCTTAATTTATTTTTTTGCTTTTAATTGTATAACTACGTATGGTTGATTATGGATTTAATTAATATGTTATACTGGAGTGTGCTGTATATCAATTAGCCACCATATAAAAATGCTAAAATTGACGGGTTTGGGTTGGGTATATTCCAGGATGAAACTCATATAAGATGGGGTAACAAATTTTTAAGATTCGTGGTATCTTTTAAAAAAAATCTAATTGGAATATAAATATCATTCTGACCTTTTCCAGCAAGTAATTGAGATGATTATTCCATCTGTCGAAAGAATCGCTTGTTTGATTGCATATAATTTTTCAGGTATATGTTGACGAGAGCTACTTAATTAAATCAACACAGTGTGAATGCCCTAGAGGTGAATTCAAGTGTAGCCATGCAGCTGCCCTTTTTATTCATGCCATCAACAGCATTAGTGTGACAGATGTAGAGTGCTCATGGAAAAGGCAGAAGACTGAGAGCCTTTCCACACATGCAGTATCCGAACTTTATCAACCCAGAAGGCCAGGATATGTTCCACTCACAAGGGAGCCAAATGATGAAGACAAAGCTGCACTTTATGCCGATTTGTGCAATTATGGCCGATTTACAGGCCTGTGGTGGCTTTTAAGTCCTGAGCCTCAAAAGCAGGAGAAGGCTCAAGTAAAATTGATCAAAGAAGTTGTCTTTTCAAGCGAAACACTGGAAATTCCTTCATTTGTTGAAAGGCTCGATTTCATAAAAAGCAAAATTTTGGTAACTTCACAGGAGATTTTAAAAGCCAGTCAACTTACTATTGGACAGAGGGAAAATCCACAGTGGCATCTTGTTAGAAAAGGAAGGCTAACTGCAAGTAGGTTTGGTTTAGTCCTGAATGCCAAGAGGATAACACCTTCCTTAATCAAACAAATTCTTGGAGAGTATGATCTATCTGGAGTTAAATCTATTGCTTGGGGCTTGACCAATGAGGCTGAGGCTATTGGTGCATTCTCTAAAAGAACCAAGCTGGAGGTTGTGAGCACAGGGATATGGCTTGATTCTTCTGGGGTTTTGGGTGCTTCGCCTGATGGTTTAGTAGGTTTGGATCATGTTTTGGAAGTTAAGTGCCCCTATACACAAAAAGATCAGTCACTTGAAGAGGCATTAAAAAGCAAGACATTTTGTCTACAAAAGGAAGGTTCCTTGTATCTTTTGAAGAAAGATCATGCATATTGGCATCAGGTACAAGGGCAAATGTATCTCACAAATAGAAACAATTGCTATTTTGTTGTGTGGACACTAACATGGTCGGTAATAACCGAAATAAAGAAGGATCCTTCTTGGGAGGAAAATATTGACAAATTGAAGAATTTTTATTTTGGCAACATCCTACCAAAGATAATGAATGATGAACTGTTTTAAAATATACATTGCTATTTTGCTTTTTTAACTTACAATCGTTACTACTGCTATGTTACAATCATTGTAAATAAATTTTTAAAAATATCAATCAAAGTCAGTTGCTTCACAGCATTCTTTAATCAAAGGAAACTGCAGGTTAACCAATGCTGCACAAAGCTGAAAGATGGTGTTGATATGGCTTCGTAAATAGGGTGGCACAAATCCAAGTATTTTAAAATCTTTCAGCCTTGCATTTACACGCTCAACATGTATTCTGCACCTTGCAATGTTTTTTGTTGCTGCAGCTTCACTTTCTGTAAATTTTCCATGTTGCAAAAAAGGTGGAATATTAACAGAAACTCCTGAAGGTACCATATCGTGTATCAAAAACCCTTTGTCTGCTAGGATAAGGTCTCCAGTTTCCATTTTGCTCAGCAACCCAGACTTGTTCACAATCTCTTTATCCGAGATCGACCCAGGGTAAAGGCTGCTTACAAATGTAATGACCCCGTTTGGTGCAACTCCAACCAAAACTTTAAATGAGTTCATACCTCTATATGTTGAGTATGTTGCACTTTGATGGCTCATTAAACTGGGCCTTGCAATTTCTATGTCAGTGCAATCAACAATAATCCTACAGTTGGTGAAAAGTGAAAAGGAAGATGGTGAGCAAAATTCATTCTTCTCCCTAGATGGGATTGATAGCATGATATGTCTGAACAGTAATTTATGGAGAATATGAATGAATGTAGTAGTTATGTTTGAAATTGTAGCAACACAGCAAGAAAAAAGTTGAGCCAAGTGTAGGTTTGTATAATTTTGACGAAGTTTCATGAGTGTAATAAAAATCTGATCCTCAAATGAAATGCTGACAACTTTCCACCCTGCATAATACACCATAGTTTCTTTAAATCTTGTGGCATGACGGACAACAATTTGGAAAACTTCTTTTGTTGGCAGTCCAGTTTCCATGCGAATGACCTCTTCACTAAGAGTACATGCAGTATAATGTTTTTTGTTGTAAGAGGCTTCTTTTGTTCTCTCTGCCAAGTCATTCCTTGTTTGTTCCAGCTCAGCCTTTAGTATGACTTCATTAAGGGGAAGAACATCTTGATCAACAACTGGTTGTGGCTCATTTTCTCGATACCTAGCTACAATATCTGCAATTGTTTCTTCATCACTCTGTTTTCTTTTTTTGACCTGAGGCTTGCTGCTAGAGGACGGAAACATCTTTTCAGCATTTCTGGCATAAATTTCGGGGCCAAAGCATTTCTCTCCATTTCTGAAATGACAGCTACAGACCCTTGAATGGGTGCTGGGCTCTCTATCCTCTCTCCTATATAGGATATAAATTGGACCACATTTAAGTTTATTAAAACAACTGAAATATACTTCTTAGATTTTTCTTTTGACTCGTATAAAGGTAAGTTTTGAAACTCAAGTCATTTTCATAATTTTTAAAAAATGTCTTGTTATTAAAAGCAAATTGAGCATATATGAGCACAGGTGCTGACTTTCTCTAGAGGTTTTGATTTTTCCAGGGATGGCTCAAGACTTAAAATGAATTTTTTAACTAAAAAAGGGTTCTTTTTATTTAGAAAATGTTTATGGCACAATTCGATCTCAATTATTGACAAGGAGCCACGCCAAAACATTACAATTGATTGTCCTGTCACAGGGCCGGGGGAGGGGGCTTGCACCCTCAATCCCCTACTTAGTCTGTACCCGTGTAGTTTAAGCACTGGAATAGTGGCGGAAATCAGGATCCGATTACTTTTTGCCTAAAGACCTACATGTTGCGTTGCTACGATTACTATATGCTATGCAAAAGCAGGCGATGTATCGATCTAGGCCATGGCTGAAATTCACATCGCCGGTTATGAAAAATTACGAATTAATCTAACCTCAATAGCTTCAACCATCTCTTGTATTCCTGGGGCTTCTTTTCTTTGCTTGGGAATCCAAAGAAACGACAGTAGTGCGATTCCGACTGGTGGTTGCAATCAGGAGCGAAGCATTGAACCATTGTCGCGCTTTGAAAATTAATCGTATACTCCACCAAATATGTGTTTTTAGCGGCAAATCGACTAAAAGGCTTTAAAGCATACGAAATGTTTCAAATTGATTCTTTTGCTAACAGGAAATACACGTTTAAAGCTGACTTTTTATTACGGCCTATTGACTGCATATACAGAGTAAGGTTTGTTTAGAACAGAAAATTTGGTTGCTACGCGACGTGACGTCACACTTTAGTACTCTATTGAAACAGAAATAAGAGCGGAAGTTACACATGCTTGAAGTCCATTCTTCGCAGGTCTACGGGCTAGTGATAGAAAGAATCGTTACCATGGCAACTTGATTTGAAAAGAAGTTAACGTAATATGGGCTGTTCCGCATTCCTACGTTTCAGTCAGTTTCAGATTGCCTGTTTGTGCTAAAGGAAATTGCAATACTGACAAGATGACCAATTAAGTTTGAGGTCATATGACTGACAGCTAAATACGGAAGAGGATACTATCTTTAGGAAGAAAACGTAAGGTAGGAAGGATGTTTGTGTGAGTTAGTTCAAAGAAGGTCAGGGCAGCACAGCAACACAAGGTGTAAGCTAGATTACACGTTTTTTATAAGAAACCTAGCTTGGGTCCTTGTCAGGGCCGGTCGCATGGCCGGGTGTGGGGCGTGTAACATCCCCCCCCCCCCCCCCCCAACGAATAGACATTTGTGTTTAAGTTGGTAAAATTTGGATTTTAGTCGGAAAAAGTTTTGAAAATTCGGAAAAAGTTTTGCAGTTTAATTTTTCCGTTGACCCAGAAGAGGATTTTCAGGAGCATCACAGAAGAAGATTAATCCCAAGAAATTTGACAAAAACAGAGACAATTTTAGTCTGGGAGATGCATTTTTAGCCAGTGGCGTACCCAAGGCTGTAGTAGTATGGGTTTTTGGACCACGCCCTTCAAACACTCGCAAATGCGGGGGAACGTCCTTTTTGCAAAATTTTCCCCCATTGTTTGATTCATTTTAGCTACGTTAAATAGCAAAGTATTTTACAATTGTTATTGACACAAGCATACAGTATACTACCCCCATCCCCCCCTCATGTTTTTTACATTGTTTTTGGACAAATCTCGAGAACCATGCTTAAGAAAAGTGGGGGTCCGGACCCCCCTATTCCCCCCTTGGGTACGCCACTGCTTGTGATGGTCTGTGACGCAGGCTAGTCGCGTCGGTCCTCCTATGTCACTAAACTTTAGTCTTAAGCCCCCCCCCCCCCCCCTTGATGGTGATGAAGATGATGGAAATCTTTTTGAACAGCGATCAAAAGTTTTTCCCTCAAGATGGATTAAGATTCCTCAATATGGATTAAATTTCCATTCAACAAGCAAATACAAGAAACTCGAAGCGGTGACTTAGGCCCCGTTCACATTGCTCCGGATTCAAATGAAAATGGATAAAAAAGTATCCGTTTGTGCCTTGCGTTCACACTGCTCCACCTTGAAAACGGAGACTTTTGAAAACGCACTTTGAAAACGGAGACTTTTGAAAACGGAGACTTTTGAAAACACAAAAACGCAGTGTTAACACCGAAAACGGATACTTTTGAAAACGCTAACAATAACAACAACACAGCAAGATTCTTAGACCGCGCCAATTTGAACAACTTTTCTTAACATGGCTGATTCACTCGAAGTTGGTACACTACTCGGAGGAACATTAGTGGCAGTGAGTTGTTTAAAAAGTTTTTTAGCAGTTGCGAGTGCTGTTAACCAGTTCGTGGCGTTTTCCTTTTTATCCAGAGCGGAGCAATGTGAACGCGCCATTGTTTTTAAATGTATCCGGAGCAGTGTGAACAGGCAAAACGGATCGATATGAAAACGGATAAAAACGAATACGGAGCAATGTGAACATAGCCTTACACTATCACATTCTCTCGTTTTCCGCAATCACATAAAAAATGTGAAGCAAATTGTACCTGAATGTGATAGTTTGTTATAGGGCCTTAATAGGTGAAATTCAAATATTAACCAAGCTAAAATATTCTGATTGCATTAACGTAGTGTACGCTGCCAAAATGTACTCGGTAGATAAAAGCTTGCAGGCCCCCCCCCCTCCCCCAAAAAAAGAAAAAAAATTCCTGAAACCTGGCTGGTCCTAGTACTAAAGGTTTCTTAATTTTTCACCAGTTTCTAGTACTAAAAGTTTCTTAAAAGTTTCTTTTTTAGATAAGCATTTAACCTCAAATTTTGCGCTTTCCCTCGCATATTACATTCATATTTTTATAAGAAACAAAGGTCGATGTTGAGTACTCCAGTTTCTTAGACCCCGTTTACACTGTCCCGGGACAATTTTGTACCGTTACGGTTCGCAAGTGTTTACACTGTCGCGGTTCCAAATTGTTCCGTTTAGCCGTTCCGTTTACACTGTACCGGTACGACCTTAATTTAATGGTAGAACATTGTTTAGAAGAAGCTGTATTTAGTCAACCAAGGCTTTTATTTTGCCGCTGAAGTCAACAATCGAATTTTTATTGTGAGTTAAAATGGAGCGGAAGGCCGATTAAAACTTTACTTGGACGAAAGACAAGGTGGCTTTAATTTTCAGTGTTATTTTAGACTACAAAACTGCCAAGTCCAATCAAGGCTTGGACTGGGAAACACTACAAGCCTTTTCTGTGGTCGTCTTTTCTTCAGAATTTCCTTTTCTTCAGAATTTGAGAACGTAGTTACGCCACAATCAAAGCCTCGATTAACTGAAACAGCCATACAAAAGACCTCTTTGTGAATCCGTGACAAAATCGTCTCGGATAGGTGTTTACACTGTCCCGTTCAAAAACGGAACCGTGACGGTACAAAATTCGTTCGCTTTCAAAGCAGGGTCAAAACTGTTCCGGATAGCAGAGCAAAATCGTCACGGTTCCACAGTGCTAGTGTAAACGCAAGGGCGAACCGCGACAGTTTTGTCACGGTTCCAAACTTGCACGGGACAGTGTAAACGGGGTCTTAATGTTCTGAAAATTTCAATACTAATTGTTTCTTAAGAGTTTCTTATTTATGATGTCATGAATTTAATTATGATGTGATGTCATGATGTTATGAAATGTTCATGACCTTTTTTATCACGTCAAGAGATTCGCTTCCGTTCTGATGCTGTATTTACAGTAGATGTGGGAAGTATATTTTTATCCCGTGTCTTAATTTCTAGGCCAACAGGGCAATAATGTTCTTGGATTTTACACAATTTCGTTGTTCTTAGTTTTATGACGATTTCATAGTTTCTTATTTCTTTTGCTTCGAGTACTGAAGTTTCTTAATTTTTTCTGACTCTCCAGTACTCGTTTCTTATATCCAGTTTCTTATAAAAAAATGAGTGTAATTGTATTGGCAAAGTTATCGGAAACCCACCTACTACTACAAGCAGACTCAACATCCTGTGTTACTCTAAATAAAAATGTACTACCAAATTTAAATCAAGCAAACATGGATTGTTGAAGTATTATTTTCCGGCTCAGAAAGTCATCCTATTTTTTTAGAGTTTCTTAAAAATATTGATTTAGTTCTAAAACTTTCCTAAATTTTTGAGGCTCTAGTACTCAACTAGAGCCTCAATCAGCCTCAAACAACTAGAAACCTAGATCAGGTTTCTTATAAACCGGTTTCTTAAAAAAACATGTAATATCATGGAGAACAACAACAATGGTTACTTTATTGATTAAATGAAAGAAGAAACCTTACAATGTATCTTTTTTACTTTTGAGTAAAAGAATTTTGACAGGGGTGGGGATAGTTTTTCGAAAGAGGAGAATAAATCGGAAATAAATTATTTTAGAACCCATAATCAAATTTGCCGATCAATGTGAATTTTTTATTATATGATTTAAAAAAAATTAATCTGCATTGACGAATGTATATGAAAATTGTATCAAAAAGAAACTGCAGTTATTGGCTAAAACCCCGGGCGGCACTCCCATTTTTGCCTAACAGGGGGGCCCGTTCAGGGTCAACGAGGGTCAAAGCAAAAGTGCTAAAAATTATCCTCAAACGTAGTCTTTGACAATAACCCTCAAATGGTAGCAGAAGAACCGAAATTGTGCCTTTGGTAGCATCCGTTTCTTTGTGCTCGCCTGTTCCTCCTTTGAAAATATCTTCGCCATTGACTATTGTTAAATCGGGAAACAAAAGATTTTGTTAATTTTCTATATTAATTCGCAAACTAAACTAAGCACCTGAGTAAAAAATCCCCCTGCGCGGTAGCAAATACTTGAAATCCCTCCAAATGGTAGTGTTATTATCGAAACTGGGCCATTTGGTTGCCATTTTGTAAGACCCTCAAATCAACTGGACCCCCTGTAAGGCCCTAATAAGAGTACCCCACACCCCCATTAAATACACGGAAATTGAGACCCCCCTTTTATATTGAATGCATACTTTTCAGGAATTTGCAGGGATGCGGGAGCACAATTTGAGGGCCCGGCTATAGACAAATTGGCAATTTTTGTGGTAGTTTTTCAAGCATTATTTTTTATGCTACAACATTGATATCATATTTCAGCAAAAAAGTGAGGGGGCTACAGCCTCCCGGCTACAGCGTGCCTGCTTTGTATCGATAACTTTGGATTTCAGGCGCTAAACGAATGATCAAGATTGGTCTAGAAAATTTCAAACAGGTTTTGCTGTTGGAAGTTGAAAGTTTTAATTATTGAAGGGCTAAAAAAGCTGCAGTTTTAGTGCATAAACTTTAGTCTATTTTGCATGAAGGGAAACCAAATCCGATATACCTCATGCATCTAAAGCACCTGGTTTATGGTGGCTGGTCAATCAAGCCTCTAATCAAGCAAGGCAAAATATGTACGAAAGTAGGAAAGAGGTGGATGCAAGAGGCCCAACATCACTATAAGTCATTTGCAGAGCCGATGCCAATAGGGGGCACGGGAGGGCGCGTCGTATAAGGCGGAAAATCTGAAAATCTGAATATCTGTGGGAAAATCTGAATGCTTGTCGGAAAATTTTAGGACTCTTCTACAAATCACATCCCAACTACAGGCTGATGAAAGTCTTCTTATCTTTCCATATTTTATTATTAGCAATATTGCTTTTAATCGATTATTTTATGTTGCATTGGCTGAAAAGAATCGAAGTTTGCCCTTACAGAATATCCCTTTTGCGAGAAACTCCGGAATTTTTCCGGGCGATTATGAAATCCTTTACAGTGGGAAGCATAAAACAAATAGAAAAAATTGATAATTAAGATGTTTTATCTAAGTTTTGCTATTTTCTGAAGCACCCGTGACACCAGATATCCACCCCACGAAAGAATCCTTGATAACGAGGCAAGGTCTCGTAAAGAAGCGCATAGGAATGTTACTAGAGAGATGTCAATCTCGTAGACGCTATCGAAGAATTTCAAGATTTCCAACCTTTTTATAAATCATTCATTGTTATAAACGTAGAAGACGATGCTCGTAAGTCACTGACATCCTCCTCAGCAGAGAGAGTCTAACCAAAAGCACCGAAATCGATCATGATGAGGTAATAGACAATTTTGCAGCAATGAAAAAGAGAAAAAAATGTTTTACTTTTGGCATTATTATACTATGCAGCATGTTTCTCCTTGCTATCATGTTGTGTTGATAACGTTGTTTAACTTTCTCAAGTTGCAATCTTTTGAATTTAAACGAAAAATGCTTTCACATCAGTAAGAAGGCAACTACACCTCGAGGAAATCTATTTACAACTAGAATATAGCAGTTGGGTTGCACAGAAGGCCACTAGACCAATACCTAGCAAATGGAAACTGACGATTAGATAAGCATGCGTATTATTCTGCCATTGAAAATAAATGTCGTCAGAAATATAACGATGTCCGGCCCCCCAATATATCACTGCTGGTGTCGGCCCTGGTCATTTGTGGAGACCATCTGCTAGCAGTGGCATGACGGGCTGAGATGATGATGATGATGATGATGATGATGATGATGATGATGATGATGATGATGATGATGACCATTTCCCAAAATTCGTGTTCCTTGGTTCCTTTTTTACCCTTGGGGTTCCTTGGTTCCTATAAATGTCAGGCAGAAACTCTGTCAGTTTGTTGGGGGAGAGTAAGAGCACGATGGCAGTTAGAGTAAGAGGAGCGAAAGCGAAATGCTGGACATTTGTTTACAAGTGTTATCCAGAAAATGTTATGGAGTTATTAGAGCAGCGTAGTGAAGACTTCGAATATCTGATTGCTGCAAAAGTCAACAGCGAAGTGCACGAAAATCTTTTGAGGGGATACATTATCTTCAAATGCCAGAAGAGGGCAAATCAAGCCGAAGCTGTCCTCAACATAGAAGGAAGGCCCGAAAGACTGGAAATGACCATAGCCAAGGGATCCTCAAGGCAACATAAGGCTCAAGTCAAGTGTGGGCACAATTTTTTTGAAATTGGTGAAAATACATTCAAAGGAAAAGAAAAAAGCCAACTGGAGCTTATGCGGGACAGACGTATGCATGAGGCAACAGAAGATGCCATGTTGGAGGAGTTTGGAGAAGCCTGGCTTCACAGTCAATCCACTGTGGATAGGAGCATTGAACGACAACAAATGGAAGAGTCGAGGCAGCGAATGCTCGAAAAATTTCAAAGTGCGAAGCTGCGACCATGGCAGGAAGCTGTTCTTCGCCTAATAAGATCTCAGGGACCAAGAAAAATTACATTCGTGGTGGACGAGAATGGAAATACAGGAAAGACATTTCTGGCGAAATATATACTGGCCACAAAGAACGCCTTGTATTTCACATCCACATCCTTGCGGGATATTGCATATGCATGGAAGGGCGAGCGGTACATTGTTTTTGACATAAGCCGTGAAAAGTCAGAAAAACTGAACTATTCCACCTTAGAGACAATTAAAAATGGAGTAGTATTTAGCACTAAATACAGGTCTTCAACAAAAGTATTCCAAATACCAATAATTATTTGTATGATTAATTCGAGACCGCTGGCAAAAATGATGTCGGATGATAGATATCATATCGTTGCATTAGCAAAATCTCCAGATCCATTAGAAAGTATAGTAACTTATACTGTAGAGGATTATCGCTATGCCCAGGAGCTTGAGGTTAAATAAAAACGCTACACAAAATGTTGTCCTTATTTTTGTTCTTCCTTAATGGACTTCTTAATACGCACGGAATGTATTTAATATAAAAATATTACTTCGTAAAACAAAACTATGAATGGGATTCTATCCATTTGTGTTTATAACCGTTGTTTCTCACCATGAGAACATATTCAAGCTATAAAAAACATATAGATGTTCAACGTCATTGTCCTTTCGCTATAAAATGCAGCCGTTACCAATGGAACTCGTTATCATGGACATTGGACACAAGAATAATGTAGATAGTATGGATATATTTGGGCTGGGCTTCTGTCCAAAAGTTTGCATGGATATGATGGGCTTCATACCTCGTATCCATTTAAATGGGCTTCTAATCTCGTTATCATGGACACAAGAATAATGTAGATAGTATGGATATATTTGGGCTGGGCTTCTGTCCAAAAGTTTGCATGGATATGATGGGCTTCATACCTCGTATCCATTTAAATGGGCTTCTTATCTCGTTATCATGGACACAAGAATAATGTAGATAGTATGGATATATTTGGGCTGGGCTTCTGTCCAAAAGTTTGCATGGATATGATGGGCTTCATACCTCGTATCCATTTAAATGGGCTTCTTATCTCGTTATCATGGACACAAGAATAATGTAGATAGTATGGATATATTTGGGCTGGGCTTCTGTCCAAAAGTTTGCATGGATATGATGGGCTTCATACCTCGTATCCATTTAAATGGGCTTCTAATCTCGTTATCATGGACACAAGTATAATGTAGATAGTATGGATATATTTGGGCTGGGCTTCTGTCCAAAAGTTTGCATGGATATGATGGGTTTCATACCTCGTATCCATTTAAATGGGCTTCTAATCTCGTTATCATGGACACAAGTATAATGTAGATAGTATGGATATATTTGGGCTGGGCTTCTGTCCAAAAGTTTGCATGGATATGATGGGCTTCATACCTCGTATCCATTTAAATGGGCTTCTTATCTCGTTATCATGGACACAAGTATAATGTAGATAGTATGGATATATTTGGGCTGGG